AGGGGCTGAGATCCTGCATTGCACCCCCCACGCCCAAGGAGAGGATTAGACTGGGAACAAGGAGCCATCTCTTGCCTGGGGATTAGGGTGAGTAAAGGGGCCCTTGCGATGGGGGAAGGAGACAGGGAAGGTGCCGTGTTGCTGGATGGCAATGCTAGGCATCCCCGTGCTGAGAAAGAAGGGGGTGACTCGAGCTCTAGCCCCCGCCAGCATCCCCACGAGCTCTGCCTGCATACCTGGGAGACCTGGCGCTGCGTGGGTGCCTCTCCTCGCAGCCTGCCTGCTTTCCCACAGCCCCGCCAGGAATGCACAGTAGCTTTCCAGCAGCAGCGAGAGGAGCCAGTTTCCCTTTCGCTGGGGGATCCGAGCACCGCAAATGGCGCTTGTGGCTGTGGGGAAGGGGGACGCCTGTGGGGAGGGCTAAGCCGGTTTGAGAATCACCAGGACCTTGGCTCTGGGTGAATTCGGGAGGAATACGGAACACAAGGGGCTGACGTTTGTGTCCTCCTTCCCTGCCACCACACACACTCTCCTTAATTCCAGCTGTTAATGTTTACCGAAGGTTGGATGAATCCCATAAGCTGCCCACACACCAGGACTTTAAATGGCTTGTGCTCCTTCCAGGGCTTAAAAGCAAAATGATGCCTGGGTTTGAGATAATACCCCAGCTGCATGAACAGGAGAGCTGGAGAGTGGCCTTGGCAGTGAGAAACCAGCTCCTTTTCTCCCCTGCCCTGTGCCCTTCCTCCCTCCTCCTCCCCCTCCTCACAAGGGGTGTTTTCTCACCAGGTGGCTTGGCAGCTCTGGCCATAGGTCCCACCGGCCGGTGCTGCTGATGTAAATGGGTGTCTGGCCAAAAATCTGTATTGAAAGTAAAGAGAAGAGCTGAAAGAGACGGAGGGTGACAGGGGACCCCAGAGCTCAGCTGTTCTAGTTAGTCCTCACTATGGAGAAGGGCATCGTCTTCCCTTTCAGACCTCTATCTCCAAGCTGAGGTCCTCAGGTTTTCCTCATTTTCCAGCCTGTGGGGTGTATTCCAAATTTTCCTGGGGCCTCTAACACCACAGAAGCTGGAAGTTCACCTGAAAAGAGCTCAGAAAGGTCCTGGGCTTTATGGTGCAGAGCGGACTTACGGGAAGATTCAGAAACGTGTTGAAAAAGTCGACAAAAACATCATCTCTCAGCAGAAGCCCCATGTCCGTGGAGGCTATGGTTGCTACAGGGGGAAGAAGAGAAAGTTACCTGGGCTTTGTGTTGCCAAGTGTGATATAAACGTGAACCAAAGCATGAGTTTTGAGGGGGAAAGCTATAGGGGATGTGCAGTATGTGCTTGTCCTGTGCACACACGGGATGATTTGGACCTGGCACAGTCCAGGAAATTTGGGTCCCAGCTCACCCACGTGCTCTGGGTAGGTGGCCCAGGGTGTTTGGAAAGTGTCAGGTCCAGCTGCACATAGCAGCTGGGAAGTTCAAATGGCACCTTCCTAAATAGCAAAGGTACGTGGTTTGTGGAGGCTGGGCACAAACGTGGTGGCATCCATGGGGCAGGAGAAAGGAGGTGCTGGGGCTGGAGTGGATGAGCTGTGCTCCTCCACCTTACCCAGACAGCAGGTGTAATCCTGCTATCATGGAGAGGAACCCCGTGCTGTGCTCTGGTGCTGCTGCTCCAGCCCCACTGCCCTGATGCCCTCTGAGTCCTCTTGCTTAGGTTCTGGTAGCAAATTCCCCCAAATTAGCAGGCACCATCAGGCTGAGAGCAGGTTGTGGCTTTGGGTAGTGGGACAGTCACTGCAGACCACCCAGGACATCACGGCAGTGTGACAGTAGTGCTCAACATCTCCCGCTATCCTGTGAAGATTTATTCATGTCTGAAAGGTTCTGGATGCAACGAGGTGGGCTGGCATCAGCCTACTGATGGGTGGAAATGTCCACTTGCGTGAAGGCACAGCTGTATTGCAGGGAGGACCCAGAGTTCAGCTGCTTTTACCCCATTCTGTGTTTAGAGGGCCTGTTGCCTCCAGCAAAGGTAACTCACCGGTGGCCGTCATGCTG